TTTCTTTTTTTTCCCTTTTACTTTTAGTTATTTTATACTTAATAAATTCACTCATCCAAAACCAAAAGTATTGCTATTGTAGATCATTTTCCAGACTGTTCAGAACACTCCATGGCCTGCTCTTTTCTTCTTCTTTTCCTGAGGCAGGGTTCCCTTTGTAGCTTTTGAGCCTGTCCTGGCACTTGCTCTGTAGACCAGGCTGATCTCGAACTCACAGAGATCCACCTTTCTCTGCCTCCTGAATGCTGGGATTAAAGGTGTGTGCCACCACCGCCTGGCTTTCCTTCTTTTTTAAAATTTATTTTATATGTAGGCGTGTTTCTCCTGCGTATATGTCTGTGCACTACTTTTGTGCTTTATATCTGTGGAGGCCAGAAGAGGTCATCAGATTCTCTGGAATTAGAGTTACAGACAGTTGTTAGCCACATGTGGGTGCTGGGAATTGAACACTGGAAGGGAAGCAAGATTAGGGCCTGGCAGGCACGAGTGTAAGGACTCTAGAGCAGAACAGCGCACCATTTTTCTAAAAGTGTCTATTTTATAAAGTGCCGGCAATGAAGAAAAGTTACTGGATTTCCACCATTTGGAAAGGACTTTGGTAAATCCTAAGCTGAAACTTAGCACAGCCAGGGAAGAGTCAACAAGAGAAGGAAGAGTCCTTTACAAAGCAGAAGGAATGGGAAATGAGGACTCCCGATGACTAAACTATGAATATCTTGAAGACCTTGCTGAAGCCACAGATAGCTCAGAAAGTTGTTGAGGCCCACAACAGTAGCTTGATGGGAGGGAGGGAGGGAGGGAGGGAGGGAGGGAGGGAGGGAGGGAGGGAGAGTTCAAAGTTGAAGGGAACGGCTACATGCCACAAATGTGCCCTACATGTGTACATACCGCATAGGTACTGTGTGTTTGTGTGTGTGTGAGTGTGTGTGTGAGAGAGCGTGCATGCGCATGGGCGCGCGCGCGTGTGCATACACTATCTCAGCCTGTCCAGGTTGCTACAGCAAAATGCCATAGACAGAATTCCTTTTACCAACCTTTCTAAGCCCCACTTCTGACACTGTCATAGTGAGGCTGGGATTGGACACATGAATTTTGGAAGGACATGGATTTTTCAGACCATAGTGCACACACTTACACTGCACACACACGCGACCCCTCTCCTGATGACTCAATGGACAATGGAGGCCATAAGAGGGTGGTGAGTTTAATTCTTCCTATCTAGGTTGACTGAGGCTGACAAGGGTGGTGGACATTGTCGCCCATGCATAGTGTCAATGATTTTCGCATCACATTATGCAGGATCATGATGAATGTTTACAGTGTGGGCAGAATTGATTGCAAGAGGTGTAAAGAATGGCTTACTTAGGGGAGCTGGATGGCCTGGCAACACTGAGCTCCACCTCTGCTCTGGCGGTAACCTTGGGAAGCCAACTCTCCATCTCTCTTCCATCATGTAGCAGATACCTCTGTAATCACATTTTCATTTGGGAAAGAAATGGTGGGCAGGGCATATGACCTACTGAGTGATAAATTCATCTCTTGTTCAGGGTTCTATCTTGTACAAAAACCTCTAGGTTAAGGAGTTAGTCTCCTTTTACTTACCTTTTATCATACATACTGCTAGGTATGTTAAACCCCAAATTGTCTTTGAACCTTTTAAAAAAATAAACAGAAAGAGAAGCTTGAGGTAAGTTCTTATTGTTTGCCTAGCATGAATAAGGTTCAGGGTTCAGCACTAACATTGAAAAACAGCAAGACCCTGCCCATGCATGGGTCTTGCTCCTATTCCCTGAGATGATGATGGCTCCTGGTGACAATACCAGCCACACCCGCTGACTGCAGGTGATTCTGGTTTCCCAGGTTGCCCTACTTTGTGGTGCTTAGACCTGCTTGGAAGGCTTTAGCAATCAAAACTGCTGTCTTCAAGGAGTCTTAGAACTTGTGGTCCATAGTACCCAGCAGAATGTGGGGCCTGTTCTGTGTTTTCTTTTACTTTGTCAAGAGCTTTCCCCTCTTGCTCATCAGGGACAGAGTGGGAGCTGCAGTGAGACCTGGCTGCTGACTCACTGTCTCACTCCTACCCTGATGCTGAAATACTGGTGCTCATCCTCCTCCCCTGCCTCTTGCCTCCCCAAGCCTACAGCTGCAGGGGTGGCCTTGGATTTGCTGGGTGGGACCCAGAGCCACCTGCACTTGACAGGACACATATTTTTGCATACTGTCGACTGGAAATAATCAACTTTATTTAAAGAGAATGTGGATTTTGAGTGCTAAAAAAAGCCACCATCAACAGCTAGGGCTGTTTTAGGAGCAGTTTCCCTGCCTACTGTACATGGAGACTGTGAGGCCCGTGCTAGGGGGTCTGAGGTCTGTGCTGGAAGGTCATAGTGGGAAGATAGACTAGTGGGAAGATAGACCAGCAGGTCCCAGGCAACAAATAAAGAACCCCTTAATGGGAATTCAGAGCTTTTGGGGGCCTGATATGGGTCAGGCTGAGATTGGCAGCTTATCTCTCCGAGGAAGTGAGCCCACCTGCCATACTGATGCTTTCATGAGGATCTGATATGTTGGAATAGCTGCCCAGGACCTTTCCCCTAGTATAGGCTGTTCTCCCTTTTGAGAAGTCTTTGTGCTTATTCCCAGATCTCTGTCAAATACTAGGACCATTTTGGTTTTAATTTTATGTGGGATGGCTTTTATTTATGTTTGCATATTTTTAAAATATTTTTTAAATGTGTACCAGTGTTTTGCCTTTGTGTATGTAAATGCTCTGTGTGCCTGCAGAGGTCAGAAGAGCAAATTGGCTCCTCAGGAACTTGGAGTCACAGATGTGGTACCAGTTGCTTTGCAAGAGCAATAAGTGCTGTTAATCACTGATCCATCTCTCTAGTCTTTGCTTTTCTTAGTTTTGTCTGTTTTTACATGGTAACATGGATAGGACTGTCAGTGGAGAGGAATCTCTTTCTCTACTTCCCATCTGTAGAGATAGCCACTGTTACCGTGGTTTTTCTCCCCCCAGAGACACCACTCCATATTCATGTGTGCCCATGCTAGTGGAGGCCCAGTACTGCCACTGGAGCTCATGTGGAAGTTTGGTATCTGGGCGTACTTTTTGCTGTTCCTAGTTTCTCTGTAGTCCATTCCAGGGAACTTGAGGGGCTGTGCTGAGGCCACTGCACTGGTCCTGGATGGCCACTGGATCCTGGGGCCCCACAGGTGCACTCTGTCCATGCTTGTTAAAATAACTTTCTCTTGGTTGTTAAAATGTTTGCATATTGGAGGGAATTTGAATATTGCCTAAGGGGGAAGAAAGGTCAGACTCCCTCTTAAACACAAAAATCAAATCTGCTTATGCATGTGTTTTCATTTCATCTTCCTGGAAGTTGAGGCCATATGGTATATAGAAATTATGTATCCTTGTTTCCCCCTTCAGTTTTCTTTTTTGTTGTTGTTGTTGTTGCGTTAAAAAGCTTTTCCCATACCAGTAGTCCTTGAAAATACTGAAAATATACATTTTCTTTGTTTTGGTATCTTCATGTTGCTCTGTGCTCGTCAGTTCCTGTGTGTTTTCTCTGTGCTGCACAGCGCCGTGGACAGTTTCAAGTTTGTGTCCGTGCTGATTGGTCAGTGCCTGGTCTTCACCGTGTTGAGTGCTGACGTTTTGAGTATCATCTCTGAAGCTAATTTTCTCAGCCACTCAGCTTGTGCTGTCACATCAAAGCACTGTGACTTGTTGGCTTAAACATCAGCCATTGACTCTGACAATTCTGTGACTAACATGTGAGATCAGGTATGGTCTGACTCTCACTCACTCTTTTGAAGACTGTAGGGAAAGATCCTTCTGGCTCTCTCCAGCTTTGGATAGAGGCTCACAATTCTTGTTCATGACTGCCTTTACACCGTTTTCCTGCGTAAGTCTGTGTCCAAAGTCTCCTCTTTAAGAACAGTTATCTTACTGGGTCAGGCACCACCTTAATGACCTGATTGTAACTGAATCACTTTTGAGGCCTCAGGGTTAAGACTCAAGTATCTTTTGGGAGAACACAAATCATCCCTCAACATCTTCCAGTTACCTGGCCCAGAGAATTCAGGCCATGTCTCTTGAATATATGGAGACAGTGTGCACATTCAGTGGATAAAGATGGTCTTATTTTAAAACTTGAGTGAGAAAAGTGTGTCTTCTTTAATCACTTCTCCCCCAATCCTGGTCTTGTTTCGGTGATGACACTTGCTGCTTTGTGCTTTCTGGAGTGAGTGGAACGACATGCCTACCTTATAGTGCACCGAGCTCCCTGCCTGCCTGCCTCAGTTTGTCAGCTGACAAAGGCTTTTGTCTGAATTAGATCCTCAACTCATTTAGTGGACTTGTGAGTCTAAACTCAGTTTTAAAAGGCACTTATATGGTTAACATGGTGAATTTAGTGACAGAGTTTGTGTTTTATCTTCAACATCTGCTTCCTGGCTAGACTGTTTTGTACATGTGCGGGTTTGTAATGGAGGTATGGAATAGGACTTGCTTGACTAGGGTTTTTAGGCCATCTCATTAAATGGATTGCTTATCTCTTGCTAACGATGTACATAGTTAAATGCAGTCCTTTGGCTTTGATTTTCTTACTAGGAGGAAAGAGAGGCTTAGTGTTGGGTTAGGACTGAAGTCCAGCAGCTGCAGGATGGGGTCTGTACCTTTCTGAAAAGTTCTTCCCAGCAGTTCATCATCACGCCCGGCACTCACGAGCCAGGGATTTTCTTAACCAAGGGGCTGCCTGTTTAACAGGCCTGGTTCTGAACTGCAGCAAGCAGACTGTGATTTCCTGGGAGACCACATAGGAGTATCACAAAGGAGATTGCTCCAAAGTGGGACCTTCATGGCAAGTCAGCTTGTTTTTTGAGCTTTATGTTGGTCTCTCCCTAGGACACAGGAGTAACACGTATGAAGCTGCTTTGGGGCTTCTCTGTTTTGATTTGTTCAGCCGCACCTCACTTTTCTTGTTCTTTCTCAGGATTCAAGAGCAGTTCCAGAAAAATCCGGACAGTTACAATGGTGCCATCCGTGAGAACTACACCTGGTCGCAAGACTATACTGACCTGGAGGTCAGGGTGCCAGTGCCCAAGCATGTGGTGAAGGGGAAGCAGGTAACAGGCCGGGGCAGGGGCTTCACTGCAGCCAGTCGGGGAGCTGGCCTAACTGCAAGAGAGTTGAGAGTGGTTTGGGTCTGAGACTTTGTCCCCCTGGAGGCGGTTGCCTTAGCTGTCCTTACCTGTGAGCATTTTTCCCCGGGTCTTCACGTTCCCCTGGGGACAGTGAGCCCTGTTCTTAGTCTGAGCAGCCATACTCTGGGGAAAAGCTCTGACACAGGCATTCTCAGGGCCTCAGTGTAGACAATTAGCCTCTTGGTTTTCAAGTGTAGATCCAAACGTTACCTTGACGAAGTCTGCCGTCAGCTTCCCTAAGAAAACTCAGTAGCTGACCTCACAGTGTGGACTGAGGTGCTGTGCCATAGCGATTGTCTTGTCTGCTTACTGCCCTGCAGCCCAGCGCTCCACACATGGGGCAGCGCAGTGCTCCACACATGGGGCAGCGCAGTGCTCCACACATGGGCAGCGCAGTGCTCCACACACGGGGCAGCGGAGCGCTCCACACACGGGGCAGCGCAGCGCTCCACACACGGGGCAGCGCAGCGCTCCACACACGGGGCAGCGCAGCGCTCCACACACGGGGCAGCGCAGCGCTCCACACACGGGGCAGCGCAGCGCTCCACACATGGGGCAGCAGAGCCTCCTTGTACACTGTGGAGGCAAATAAACATCTGAAATTGATCTTGATTCAGGGGGAGAGGAGGAGGAAAGTGTGAATGTGTGTGGATGCTCTTGACACTGAAACTGTCCAAGACAGCGAGATGACAACACAGGAAGAAAGAACAGTCATTCCTTACTATCCGTTAACGTTTTCCTGTCTCCTAGTGTTGCTGGTTTCACATAGACATGTGTTGAGAGCAAGCTTTCCTGTCTACAAACCTCTTTGCTGATGTTGGCTAGAGATCACCAGAGGACATGGCTTTTCTGTGAGGTCCAATGGTGATGCCTGATGTTCCTTGTCAGTGCTCAGACTCATTGGCCAGGCCTGTCACTTCAGGACAGGAATGGAGAGACAGTCTTACTTCTCATGCGAAGTTCTATGCTGTATACGTTTTCTGCCCTTGTTGACAGACAACGCTAGTTTTTTTTCTTCAGACACTTAGCCTCCATGTAGCACCTCCCCACTCCCACCCCCAGTTGTCAGGTCATGTGTGACACCCATTGCAGTTCCCGCAGTTCTGAGGGAAAGCAGAGAAGTCTGCGCGTGGGGAGAACACTCACTGGGTAAGGTCTTGCACTTGCTGTGCAAGCATGGATGCCTGAGTGCAAGTCTATAGAAAAGATTGGTGGACTACAGATTCCTAATACTGTGGAGGGAGGAGACAACAAGATTGCTGGGGTTTGCTGGCCCACCAGCTTTTCCCTTCGCTAAATGAGAGACCCCGTTTCTAACGAACAAGGCCAAGAGTGATAGAGTAGGACACCTGCCTTTCTCCTGTGGCCTCCATGTGCATGCATGAGTGTTACCACACACGCTGCACATACAAATCTAGGCTACAGTGATTAAGTAAATGCCTTGGCTTGTGTCCTGTGGTTCTTCCATGGGGCAGGAACTATGTGTGTGTGTGTATATCTGTGACGTAACTGACATAGGTGGATTTAGTACATAATTTTTTAGAGGGAGGGTTTATTTAGGAAGCCATGGCAGAATTAACATTATTGTAGATTGTTATAATCAGGATTCACTTAAAATATTCTTAGGTAATCTTAGGTAACAGATCCAAATAGGATATTACAGAATTTGAATTAACATTGTAATCAAGTTTGGCATGTGTCAGAAACTTTCCCTATTTTAATCTTCAAGAGAACCTTAAATGTACACAGCAATTCTGTGCTTTATAGATGAGAAATTAAGGCTGAGAGAAATTACTAAATTGCCAAGTGTTGGCTCCCTTGTTACACACAAATGGGGCTTCTAGATAACTATTTGAGTGGATGATTTGCTGAGTAAATAAGAGGACAAACTTATGCTTTGGTTCAAATGTATCTGTCTCTAAGCTTAGCCTTCTCTCTGAATCTTAGCTTTTAAATTTATAAATTCCTTACTCACATGGAAGTTGTGGTTGTATATAGAACATGTAACATGGAAGTCAGGGGACAGTAGGGACAGCCTGGCTGGTACCCTACACCCCACATAGTAACAGACGACCAGACTCAGTTGACCCTGTCTGTTTTGGATGGTTTGGGGCAGGTACTGACTGCCTTTCCTAGGTTGCTTGCCTAACATCTTCTTGGGGCATTAGTGGGTCATGTGTAATTATGCATATCTCTGTGTATTTGTATATGGGTATGTACATGCGAGTGCAGGTGCTCACAGAGGCTCGAAGGAAGGTGTTGGATCCCTTAGAGCTAGAGTTACAGGCAGTTGTAAACTACCCAACATGGGTGCTGGGAATTGAATTCAGACCCTGTCTTCAAGAACCTCACCTCGGCTGGGCATTGGTGGCGCATGCCTTTAATCCCAGCACTAGGGAGGCAGAGGCAGGCGGATCTCTGTGAGTTCGAGGCCAGCCTGGTCTACAGATCGAGTTTAGGACAGCCTCCAAAGCAATACAGAGAAACCCTATCTCGAAAAACAAAACAAAACAAAACAAAAAAAAGAACCTCACCTCTTCAGGTTTCTCTGAAAGGGTTCATAGTAGATCCAGATTAAAATTAGTTTCTCTTTTCTGTGACTCAAAAGATCTATGCTGGTAACCCAGATAGCTCCTAGGGACGTAGTTTTCAGGTATGCTGGCTCACTTGTGGGAGTTGGAGCCATGCCCTGTACCACAGGCTCCATGGTATGGAACTGCTGCCATCCCATGTTGTTCAGATTCCTGTCTCTCTGGTGCATGTTTTCTCTGATCTCCATGGTGGTGCACTCCTGCTTTTACTGACTGACCTGGATCTGGCTTGTTCTTCTGTGACTATTGTCTGAGCACATGGCCTAAGTGGTGCTACCAAGGTAGGTGTCTGGCATCAAACATTTCTTCCTTTTTATCATGTAGGCAGTAATGTTTAGCAAAGTGGTGATGTGTGTATGTTCAGCATCGGTGAAGCGCACAACTCTGACTTGGTCCTTTGGCCCACCATGCACTCAAAGGAACCCAGCCAAGAGCCAAAGCTACCTTCACTCCATGCAGGCTTGGTGTGTTTCTTTTAAGCACTGAGATGGGGTGGGGAGCACCCCAGATCTGCTGTCAACTTTAATGTAGGCATTCTGTGACACCTGTTGATGTTGCTTGCATTGGTGAAGATCCTTATCTCCCACATGGTAGGACATTTTCTTTCTCCCTAATAATATTTTTCTATGCTTTGCTTATACTATTAATCCCTGATTTGCTTAATGCTATGAAACTGTTAGGGGAAAAATAAGGAAAACGCTTCAAGAAATAGGCACAGGCAAGAACTTTCCCTCCACTTGGAAATAAGACCAACACTTGACAAATGGGATCGTATGTAGTGAGAAGGCTTCTATACAGCAAAGGAAGCAGTTGATTGAGTGAAGAGGCAGCCTACAGAATGGGAGGCAATTGCTAGTTATGCACCCAACAGAATACTATTACCTGAAATATACAGAATTAAAAAAACTAAACAACAAGAACCAAAAAATCAGTTAATAAATGGATAAATGAAACAGACTGAGTCACTGAGATTTGCACTAAACATGTATTGCTAATAAGCATAAGGAAAAAATTATTCTTAGCCATGTTACAAAAGTAAATCAAAACTACATAGTGGTGGCCATGCCTTTCATCCCAGTACTGCAGAGGTCCATGGGCTCTGAACTCCACGCCAGCCATACTTCATAAAGAAAGCAAAAAGCCAGCCTGGCGTACAGAACAAGTTCCAAGACAGCCTCCAAAACAATACAGAGAAACCCTATCTCGAAAAACAAACAAACAACCCCCCCCCAAAAAGCAAGCTATATTGAGATTGCATTTTACCCCAGCAAGAAATGGCAGCCTTAAGAAAATGAACCACAGATGCTGGTGGGGATGTGGGTTAAAGGGAACGCTTACACACTGCTGGTGGAAATTTATACTACTAGTCCAGCATCATGGAAGTGAGTATGGAGGTTTCTCAAACAAACAAACCTGAGAAGCTGTAGCACTCCTGGGTGCCTCCCTGCAGGCTCTGAGTCTGTATCGGGGAGTACTGCACAGCAGTGTTTATGCTGGACTGTCCCGGTAGCTCAGAAGTGGACCCAAGCAGGGTGTTGGTAAAAGAGTGTGGTAGAGACACACGCAAGTCTGACAGCTGTGAAGAGCTTACATTGTTGGCAGGGGAACTGCTAGAGCTGGGGCAGCATCAGGCCAGGCAAGTAAGCCAGTCTCAGAAAGGCAAATAATGCTTTCTCCTTGTGGGTCTTACATTGTGTACACATACGTCAAGCGTGTGTATTCACATACATGGCATGAGAGTTAAACTGTCTAGTGGAACAAAGACTAATGGGGGAAGGAGTATGGGACATAAAGGAACATATGTTTCATGTGTAGTATATGTCTACTTGAAACTTTAAATGTCTTGGTCTATCAGTTTCTTAGTGATTGCTAAGAGTTTTTGTCAACCTTTGAAATAAGTTCCTTTTGTATCTCTTGAGTTCCGCATGCCTAAGGGCTTTTCCTCAGAGTTGCATTTCTTTCTTGTCGGTTCCTTCCCACTTGTCCCTAAATGTACCTGTCCCAGCTGCCTGGGCAGCAGGGTTTTATTTTCGGTTTGTCTCTGGCACCCATCAGATATAACCATGATGGTAGTCAGGACTGCAGCAGCTTTGGGAGATGGGGCCAGGGCTGGTTATGGTTGGTGATGAAGAAGCCCTATATAGGCAGCTTTTGCTTTGGTGTAGGGTTAAATGAGGGTCACTGCAGCAGAACATTGGCCCTCTGTACCCAGTGGTGGCTCAGTGCTGGCCAGAGCTCTGAGTTGCGTCCTAAGCTATTTTTCACTCATCTTTCTGTGGACATGAGTGTGAGGACAGCGTACTGGCCTTTCAAGGGTGGTTGAGAGTGAAT